AAGGGATCTTGGAGGTCTTCTGGTCCACCCCCCTAGCTCAAGTATACCAATACTTTATACCAATAACATTCCAGACAAATGGCTGTCTAGTTTCTTCTTAAAAACCTCCAGTGTTGGAGCATCCACAATTTAGGAAATGTCTCCATAGTTCTAGGTTGACTCTCTCCTTGATTAGTTTCCATCCATTGCTTCTTGTTCTGCCTCTGATGCTTTGGAAAAACAGGTTAATCCCTTGTTCTTTGTGGCAACCCCTCAAACATTGGAACAGGGGTGGGGCTGCTGGGGGTTCGCAGGGGTTCGGGAGAACCTCTAGCTAAGATTCTGTGCAGTTCGGAGAACCCCCAAATCACACTCCTGGCTGGCCCCGCCTACCCCACCCATCCCAGGAGTCCCCTCACGGCCCATTTTGGATGCAGGTAAGTGCGGGGCGTGCGCGGAGGCTCAGGGAGGGTGAAAAACGGGTCTACCGGAAGTTTGGGTAAGCTAAAAACAGGCCCCTTTCCGGCCTCCAGAGCCTGGGGAGGCTGTTTTCACCCTCCCGGAGGTTCAGAGAAAGCTCTGAAGCCCAGGGAGGGCAAAAAGCCCCCCCTACCGCCGTGGTGCAGGAGTTCGACTAGGCCACGCCCACACAGATAACCCGTTGCTAAAATTTATGAAGCCCACCCCTGCATTGGAACACTGCTATCATGTTGCCCCAAGTCCTTCTTTTCTTTAGACTAGAGAAGTCAGTCATTTGGCTTTCTGGATATTTGGGAGTCCATCCCTAACTCTCAGCCGACCTTGCTGGGCTGTTGCAGGACAAGGGAGAAACAGCAGTCCCAGCAGCAACTGTCTGTCCAACTTCCTTGACTTGTCCTCTCTTGAGTAAGAACGGACATGTGATGTAGATTAATCATCAACAGCAATAATGGAGGGGAGGACCACTCATAGTATAAAACATTTGCTCAAGGCATCCTGGAGCTGATTCTGTTCATTGGGGACTTTCAGCATTATTCATCAAGAAGTGTTTATATAAGTGGAGAAAGATGAATGTCTGTTTTTTTCTTTCCCATCCCTTCTTCCTGTTGTTCTCTGTGTTTGGGAACGTAACTGTGTTCCTCGTCCTTAATTTTTTTGTACCGTGCCTAAGAAGCTTTCCGTATTCATAGGCAGAAGTAGGCAGCCTTCCAAAAATTTGGGAGTTTTCAACTTTCAACTCTCATCTGACTAAACATGTGGAAACGTCAAACATCTACCTATCCAAGCTTCAATTCCTAGTCACCACTGGAGCCCTTTCAGCAGGGGTGAAATGTAAAATGTGTTACTACCAGTTCTGTGGGCATGGCTTGGTGGTGGTGGGGGTTACTTTGACTGGGTGGGCGTGGCCAACTTTTTTTTTTTTAAACATGTGCGAGGGGAACTTTTCCCTTTTACAGATCAAATCTTTGCATGGTGAAGAGATGAGTTGGGTTGGAGATAGTTGGTAGCCTCCTATGTAAAGTTCATACCCCTGAATCCTTAGGAACAGGAAGAGAGAATGTGTAATAAAGACATGAACCGATGAGAGTTGGTGAGACAGTGGGAGATTCAAGCTTGAGGAGTTTCTGGACTTCGAGAGCTATTAAGCAATGGAACAGTTCCATGACTCTAGAAAGAGAAAGAGCAGCAAAGATGATTAGGGGGATTGAAGGCTAAAACATATCAAGAACGGTTGAAGAAATTGTGTATGTCTAATTTAATGAAAAAAAGGACTAGGGGTGACAAGATAGCAGTGCTCCAATATTTCAGGAGGCTACCACAAAGAAGTGGGGATCAATCTATTCTCCAAAGCACCTGAGGGCAGGACAAGAAGCAACGGATGCAAACTAATCAAGGAGAGAAGCAACTTAGAACTAAGGAGAAATTTCCTATCAGTGAGAACAATTAATCAGTGGAACAACTTGCCTCCAGAAGTTGTGGGTGCTCCATCACTGGAGGTTTTCAAGAAGAGATTGGACCATGATTTGCCTTATAGGATCTCCCGCTTGAGCAGGGTGGGGTTGGACTAGAAGATCTCCACGATCCCTTCCAACTCTGTTATTCTGAATTCTCCCTCTTATCTCCCTCTTTGGGGTTTCAGTTTTAAAATGTAAATTAAATGGGTGATTTCTAAAGTAATAAATGAAAAAGCATCTGAAGGTCTTAAGGTCAGTAGTGTTCCAAGTGATGGAGCTGGGGAGAAAGTGTGTAATTTTCAGACTTTCATGTGGTGTGCGAGATAGTCTGCTGACTCTTTAAAAACTACTCATTGGAGTAATTCCTCAAGTTCTGGACAGCGGGAGGATTAAACCAGATCACAACCTGTGGTTTTACTGGGAAAGATAACATTGTAAAAATTCCTGCTTCGTACTCATCAGAATCTGTTTGCAATAAATCCAATGCACGTGCCTCAAATCCTCTCTTTTGCTGCGCTTATCCAAATCCTTTCCAACAGTTTAATTTTAAGATAAAGGAAAATCAACATGTTGTTCCTAGAAATACAGTTCAAGGATTTGTGGCGAGCGTGGTGTAAACAGAAAAATAGGATGAATAGAATAGAATAGAATAGAATAGAATAGAATAGAATAGAATAGAATAGAATAGAATTCTTTATTGGCCAAGTGTGATTGGACATACAAGGAATTTGTCTTTGGTGCATACGCTCTCAGTGTACAATAAAGAAGAGATACATTCATCAAGAATCATAAGGTACAATACTTAATGATAGTCATAGGTTACCAATAAGCAATATCAATATAAATCGTAAGGATACCAGCAAAAAGGTTACAGTCATACAGTCATAAGTGGGAGGAGATGGGTGATGGGAACGATGAGAAGATGAGAAGATTAATAGTAGTGCAGACTTGGTAATTAGTTTGACAGTGTTGAGGGAATTATTTGTTTAGCAGAGTGATAGTGTTTGTTAAGGATTAGAGTTATAGCTGCAATGTAGTGGACTCCATAGCCCAGGGCAGAACGAAGGGATATCTATGCGTATGGTTGGTGTGTCGAAATATTCAAGATGGTAGCCTTGATTATGTGATAAAAGTCTGTCTCTTGCTATATGCTTTGTCAATGAATACAGGTAGCCCTCAACATACAAAGGTAAATGGAGCTTGCTCGTTACGGTCATATGTCATAATGATCATAAAATGGCTTGACCATGTGACCAACCAGATTTTACAATCTTTTATTACAGCGGTCTTTGAGCAAATCAATGGTTTGCTGTTGGCATGGTTTTGTCTCATGTCATAATCTAGGTCATAAGTTCCCCTTTTGGGGTTGGTTGTGACTTTGAACCGTTACTAAGCAACCGGTTGTAACTCAAGGACCAAAGGGATGAGCGAACCTTCAATCAAATAGTCATGATTGACATTTTGGAGGATATCTCTGCTATGAGCATCTTGGATAGACTTCCACAGTAATGGAGGACAACGTCTTGGTGTTAGTACTATTGTACCGCCGCATAAAAAACGTAGAACTATCAACTTATATTTTGTTTCAGACAACAAAAAGTTTGGAGTCAGCCAAAACCAGAGAGAAATCCATTCATTTACTTACAGGCTCTCCTTCCATCAGTTTTTATTTTTTATTTATTTTATTTATTTATTCATTCATTTGACATTTAGTCAAACATGTATAAGATAACAGATATAAGTATAAACATAATTATGAACACAGGAAATAGATACAAATAAATGGGACATTAGGACAGGGACGGAAGGCACGCTGGTGTACTTATGCATGCCCCTTACAGACCTCTTAGGAATGGGGTGAGGTCAACAGTAGACAGTCTAAGGTTAAAAGTTATGGGGGTTTGGGGGTGAGACTACAGAGTCTGGTAGTGCATTCCAGGCATTGACCACTCTGTTGCTGAAGTTGTATTTTCTGCAATAGAGTTTGGAGCGGTTCACTTTAAGTTTGTATCTATAGTGTGCTCGTGTATTGTTGTGGTTGAAGCTGAAGTAGTCATGGACAGGTAGGACATTGTAGAAGTTGCTATTCAGATTCAGAATAATCAGAAGCTGAGCGAAAAAATAATAATACTAATTTCACTAACTTCAGAGTTAAATTGTATAAGCCCCTTTTCAGCTGTTACAGCTACTGTTTTCTGTTGATAGTTTGTCCTTTATTGGTCTAATGTTTTTCAAAGATTTTTAAGCAAAGAATGACATCACCCCTTACGGTTTCCTTGCTAAATTGTGGTTACGTATTTCCGTGCACCCAGAACATCAATATAGGAAAAAAAAAACATGATTGTCTAGCTGTAAATAAAATGCATTGTTTACCCATTCTGCTTGCATCAGGTTGGGGTTTCTTTATATATATACTTTTGATTAAACAATTTAAAAAGGAGACTAAAAAAATAACAAGGACTAATGTAAAGTAAGGAAAGGAAAGGAAAAAGAAATCAGAAAGAAAAAGCTAAAAGTACAGAAAGAAACTATAAAATTTATTGCTGTTTTTTTTTTTATTCTTTCCTTTTTGCGTCAGGCTGGTTTCAAACGTTTTTACCCAAACAGGTAGCAGGTTTAGCAAGTTCTGTGATTAATTATTATTGTTATTTTAGTCCTCTTAAGACACGGCCAACTGAAAAGCTTTGGAATGAGCTGATTCATTTACTCTTTTAGAGTTGTTGTAACTGATTGCAAATTCCATGCGGTTTTGAGATTGACACTTAGTGTTTCTGAGTTAGGAATGAAGCCAGGAAGTGAAGTCTATGTTTCTTTGCCTAAATGCAGCATATCTGTCTGGCCCAAATAACCAGGAGCATTTGCTGAGTTCAATGCACAATAGTGTTTATCATTGCTACCTATACACAAGAGTCTGGCCAACTAACTGTCAGAGTTAAATAGGCTCTAGATAAGGGTCAACGGAAATTTGCAGGGAGCTGGAATGGGAACATAAAGATTCCAGACTGATGACACGTTTAACTCCACCTTCTATCTCAGGCTGCTCTTCTCCTGCAACATCATTTAAATTTGTCCCTTTCTTCTTCCTAGGCACTGGGAACCGATGTGCAATTTGGCCCTATGAGACTCCACCGAGAGCAACTTCAGGTAAGCCTCTGTTAAAGACGCATCTCTTGGTTTGTCCAGGAATTGGTTACTTAAATGAAGAAATGCCTATACATTTATTGCTGGCTTCTTCAGTAGCATTTTCGGCTGAAGTGTTTTCATAGCATCCTATAGTAGTAAAAAAAGGAATGGAACAAAGCCAGGTAAAATGTGCCTTTTGGAGCAATATTCACAGCCCATTTCACGGAGGATTGAGCTAATAAAGAGAAATCCCTGAGTTAAATTGGGGCATTTGTGCAAGCGCACATATGTATCAGTTATACGTAGGTATATAAATTGGGAAATTTATGGTCATTCCAGCAGGTTTAATCCAAAGTGTAAACCTAGTCAGAGTGTGTCTGTGTGTCTGTGTGTGTTTTCACACACACATAAACACATTCTGCCTACAGGTAGGTGTAAATGTTGAGATTTATTGACATTCCAGCAGCTCTAATCCAAATATAAGCACAGTTGGAATGCCTGGAATTGCTTAGAAGTATGAACTAAGAGCTAAGAGTTGCTTGGAGAATATTCGATTTAGCTGAATATTGAAATGGTCCAAAGGTATCAGTGCAGCCGTAGCCTGACTCTGTAAATCTCTTAGAGAGGCTGACTCTGTAAATCGCTCTGTAAAGAACTGTGAAGCGGTATATACCATGTTTCCCTGAAAATAAGACCCTGTCTTATATTTTTTTGAACCCTGAAATAAGCACTTGGCTGATTGGGCTTATTATCAGGAGATGTCTTATTTTGGGGGAAACAGGGTAAGTCTAACTGCTATTCCTACTATAAACATCTTAATAAGGACTTAGGGTCCATGAATCCTGTGACCAAAGTTATGTGCAAAAGATTTCAGATTTTTGATAAGAGTCTTCCTCCCCCTCCTTTCTTTCTGTGATACCTATATATATCTTTCTTTTCCTTTAATTAGGTACTCTTAGTGTTTGCCAAAGAAGACAACCAGAGCAATGGATTTTGCTGGGCCTGTGAAAAAGCAGGCTTCCGTTGTAGCATTGCCAGGACACCTGAATCTGCCCTTGAGTGTTTTTTGGATAAACAGCATGAAATCATCATTATCGATCACAGGAATTCGAGATACTTTGATGCAGAAACGCTATGCAGGTGAGTGATTTTTTTTTTTGCAAGCAAACTCTTGTAATATGGGACTCGCTAACCAGCCTTGTTGACAAGGTCATGATGCCCTGGGGATGTTTGGCATCTGGCCACTCTTCGTGCGGAGATCCTTTTGTATGAGGGTTAAACCCTTCCCTGGCTCTCGGTATTTACATTCGAAATAACGTTGGAAGTATTTGATGCATTCGCTTTATAATCTGACTTTCATTCAAGAGATCAGTGGCATAACGAATGCTCCAGGGAGAATAATTAATCAGTGGAAAAAAGCTTAATTCCTGGAGCTGTGGTGGGGGTTCGGGAGAACCTCTAGCTAAGATTCTGTGCAGTTCGGAGAACCCCCAAATCCCACTCCTGGCTGGCCCTGCCCCGCCCTGCCCCCTCTCTCCTCCCAGGGGTCCCCACGCGGCCCATTTTGGATGCAGGTAAGTGCAGGGTGCATGCAGAGGCTTGGGAAGGGTGAAAAACGGGGCTGCCGGAAGTTCAGGAAGGTCAGAAACGCCTCCAGAGGGCCTCTGGAGCCTGGGGAGGCCGTTTTTGTCCTCCCGAAGGCTTGAGGAAAGCCTCCAGAGCCCGGGGAGGGCAAAAGCAATCTCCCCTGCCATGATGCAGGAGGCCGACTAGGCCACACCCATCATGGCCAGACCCACCCAGCAACCAGGCAGAGAACCCCTTGCTAAAATGTTTGAAGCCCACCCCTGTATAAGGTCTCCTGCCTTGAGCTTGGCATTGGACTAGAAGACTTTTGAGGTTCCCTCCAGGCCTACGAGTCTATGTTCTATGTTCTCTTTTCTCCGGTTTTTTCAGCAGCTCATCCTGTAAATTAGATTGGACAACTAACTGGCTCAGTCACTCAAAAAACTTTTGTATCTAAAGGACGGACTAGAAACTTGGGTCTTCCCACTCCTAGTTCAACACTTTCACGACTACATCACATTAGTTCTCAACGGTTTCTTGACGTTTCTTAATGGTTAGGTGTTGGGTGTTTTCCTTCTGATTTAGACCTGTATGAACGCCAGTGAAATATTCTTATGTTGATTTCAAGCACGTCATGGAACCCACCACAATTTCTTTACCTTCCCTTTTTTTCCCAAAAGGTCCATTAGAACAACAAAACCATCCGAAAACACTGTTATTATTGGGGTCGTGCGGAGGTAAGTGTGGAAATATTATTATTAACAGTATCCGAATAAAACATAGACGAAGGCAAAAAGGCAGGCTTGGAAGCGTGTAACTGGAAATCAAGAGCCATTCTCTCTGATTGTTACTGACATTTAGCTGACTATGTAGCTGTGGCCTTTCGAGTTTTAGGAATGGGGCTGGTAGGCAGAAAAGACCAAAATAGAGTGACTGAAGATAATTCAAGACTGGATGTGCAGCTGTGGGTGGAGCCATATGTGATGGAAGAAGACCTGTGTCTTCTTGAATTGTGTGCCTGCTAAAATATGAGAGTTGGGGAGAAGAGGACGGTGATTTTCCCCACCTACTACAAGGTGCTGTGGATTACAGTCGGGCACAAGGAATGGCATCTTGAGCTGATCAGAGTTGCTTCTTTATTGCTGCCTGCCTATTTACAAGGATCTCACCAGACGGATTACATTCTCTTGATAAAGAATTCGGGAATTTTCAGGCAGAGATGAGGTGATGTGGCCTTCATCCCTTCCATCCCTACAAAGACTCCAAACTCACCAATCTTTTCACTCCACCCCTCACTCTAGCTGGAGATTCTGCCATGTTTATGGGCCGTATACCTCCTTGTTGCTGTTGTCCCAAAGGTGCTTTTTCAAGAGGCAACTGGACTTCCTTGTTTTTTCTTTTGAAGACATTTCGCTTCTCATCCATTTCGCTTCTTCAGCTCTGACTGGATGGTGGGAAATGGAAGGATTTATATTCCTTGCAGGCAGCTGGTCATTTGCATCCTTTTAGCAGGTTGTTGAGGCCATTTGGAGGTTTATCTGTGACCTCTTTGTTGTTGCTAAGTCGCTAACTTGTGTCCGGCTATTTGCAACCCATGGTCTATAGCAGTGATGGCAAACCTTTTAGACACCGAGTGCCCAAACTGCACGCGGCCATGCCCAAACTGAAAGGTGTGCACACGCACAAACTTGCACATGTGCAGACTTGCGTGTTTGCATGCACAGCACATGCGTAAATGTGTGCATGCACGGACATGCATGCATGCGTAGCAGAGACCCAAAGACCAGTTGGCTGGCGGTAGGCAGGGAATCCCAACACCACCAGCGCAGCAAGAAGTAAGATCTTTTTCTTTTGTGAGCTTCTGTTTCATCGTTTGCAGGGAAACAGAAGCTGATGAAAGAAATGCCATGGAGATCTGACCTGGGGCGACGGCGTGTGTGCCAGCAGAGAGGGCTCTGTGTGCCACCTCTGGTATGTGTGCCATAGGTTCGCCATCACAGGTCTATAGCATGCTGTCCCCCAATCTTCCCCTATAACATATTGGACACCTTTACTGCAGAGGTGGTATTCAGCCGGTTCGGACCAATTCAGGCGAACTGGTAGCAGAAATCGTGGGTGGACCTTCCTACGCGCCCCGGCTGCATGCCATCCTATTTAGGATTTTTTTTTTCAGGCCTGGCACATGTGCGGAAGGTGCGCGCGCGAGCAAAGTGCATGCACAGAAGGCTGGGCGCGGGCGCAGAAGGCGCGCAGGCGCAGCGAACCAGTGGTAACAAAATGTGAAGCCCACCACTGCTTTACTGATATTGGACACCTTCTGACGACAGGAGCTCATTTTCTGGCATCATATCTCTTAGGCAGTGAACCATGAAGGAGATATACAAGTGGTGGCAAACCTTTTTGGCACCGAGTACCGAAAAGGTCATGTGGAAACGTCACATGGAAATGTTGTGCGCGCTCTTTGGGGCCGCGCTCCAGAAAAGCCAAACTTCCAGGTTGTAGCATGCATGTGCGTGTGACGATCAGCCAGCCGGCACGCATGTGTAGGCTGGTTTTCGGCACTGCCGCTCGCACGAAGGGATCGCGCCATGGAAAAGCTGAACTTCCTGGTTTTGGTGTGCATGCACACTCAAAAATCAGCTGGCCGGCACGCATGTGCACACCGGATTTTGGCACTGCTGCGCGTGCAAAGGACAGCTGATCATCACGTGTGCATGTACACCAGAAACCCAGAAGACAAACAGGCAAGGCCACGCATGCCGGGCGACATGGCTTCGCGTGCCACTTTGGGCACACATGCCATAGGTTCGCCATCACGGAGATATACCTTTAGTCTCTTAAAATATTTGGTGCCCATGCAGATAGGTAAATAAAGCTATCCCCTCTAAATTGTTCTTGCGTGCTGTTTCCCATTAACTCTGCAATTTGCATCTCTTGTCCTACGTTCTCTTGAAACCTTCCTCCCTCCGTTCTCAAAACCAAGGGCCACGGTCTTTGCCAGCCAATGGTACAACTTTTCATCAAAGCATCCCGTTTTGCGCCAGCTGGGGATAATTCACGGTGATCTTGTTTTCATAAATAGGGATCTGTGGCATTGCTCATGTTGATTGTGGTGACTTCGCATCTGTATTTACATTCGAATATGCAACCCTCTAAATCAGTCCAGCAAAAGCGGTGCCTTTATGAAAAAAAAACAAAAAACTGCAATTCTTGCGAAACACGGAGCGTTTGCTGCCAAGCTAGAAGTTCTTCTCCGGCCAAGTACATTTCCAAGTTCAAATCCTGGCTGGGAGAAGGAAAAAAAAGAATATCTGATTTTGGGGAGTAAAAAATAGTGGCTGGGAAAGTGTTTAACATTTTCTCCTGTCTTCTCTGCAAGCGCTCCTGACCTTTGCTTTAATACTGTTTGGGTGTGATCTTTTCTTTTTCTTTTTCTTTTTTTTAAAAATGGAACTATTGCTGTCTCGTAGCTCTGATTTAAGCATAGAGGCTAGAAAAGTTCTGAATTTGAAAGGCTGGTGCAGTGGGAGAGACCGTTTTAGAATAATCGCATTGGAGTATTTGATTTTGCAAACCGGTGCTAAGCATAACAGCAGCCCGCAAAGGGGGAGCAAACCAGAAAAAGGGAACAGAGGGAATAGACAGAGAAGAAAAAAGAACTTCCATGCTCCCTCATTAAAGAGAAAAGAAAAGAATTCTATGGACCTCTGCTCTCTTCTAAATTGAGGCCTGGCTAGGTGGCTCAGTGGCTAAGAGACTGAGCTTGTCGATCAGAAAAGTCGGCAGTTTGGCGGTTCGAATCCCTAGTATAGGTCTCCTGCGTGAGCAGGGGGTTGGACTAGACGATCTCCAAGGTCCCTTCCAACTCTTAAGTTAAGAGCCGAGGTGGCGCAGTGGTTAGAGTGCAGTACTGCAGCTACTTCAGCTGACTGCTCGTTCAGCAGATCAGCGGATCAAATCTCACCGGCTCAAGGTTGACTCAGCCTTCCATCCTTCCGAGGTGGGTAAAATGAGGACCCAGATTGTTGGGGGGAAATATGCTATTTAGTATGCTGTCTTCGGTGTAAGCTGCCCAGAGTCCTCAGAGAGTGGGCGGCCTAAAAATACGAATAACAAACAAACAAACAAACAAATAAATAAATAAACAAACTCTTGTTACTGTTACCCGAAGTTCTGTAGCCTTTCAAAAGCCACTGGATTTTAAAGTTTGAAGGACTTCCGTTTATTTAATACTGATCAGCGATACAGCCTCTCATCATCTGCAGATATTAATATTTCAAGGATGAGCCAGGAAAATAAAATCCTCTTAACATCTTTCTGTTCTTTCTTTCCAGACATGCAGATCGTGAAGAGTCATCATTGTTGCCCTTTCTTTCTGCAGGCTTCACAAGGGTAGGTCTACTTATTTATAGTCATCTTTTCCTATATATATTGTGTATATATATATATATATACACACAATTGTATTTTATATATATATACACGAACATATATATACTGTATTGACTGAATGCCTGAATCTACATGTGCATGCTGACAATCTCAGACTGATTTTGCCAAAGGCTGGGGGGAAAATATTTCCCCACTTTGTGAACATTAGCTCAAGGATTACTGAGAGCATGTTTAGGTTAAAATAGAATCGAATAAAGTCAGGTTATTTAATTTTTTAACTGATAGTGGTTTTTTTTTTAAAAAAAGTTTCACCTTAATTATATAATAAAAATGATCTACATCCTCAACTGTTAGAATAGAATAGAGTAGAGTAGAGTAGAGTAGAGTAGAGTAGAGTAGAGTAGAGTAGAGTAGAGAATAGAGTAGAGTAGAGAAGACTAGAGTAGAGAATAGAATAGAATAGAATAGAATAGAATAGAATAGAATAGAATAGAATAACAGAGTTGGAAGGGACCTTGGAGGTCTTCTAGTCCAACCCCCTGCTTAGGCAGGAAACCCTGCACCACTTCAGACAATGGTTATCCAACATCTTCTTAAACACTTCCAGTGTTGGAGCATTCACAGGAATATTCCTAACCATTTAGGGCAGATTGCTTAGTTTTATATTTCTCTACTGTAGGAGAAGGGGACGCGGTGGCTCAGTGGCTAAAACACTGAGTTTGTCGATCAGAAGGTCAGCAGTTCAGCGGTTCGAATCCCTAGTGCCGCGTGATGGAGTGAACTCCCGTTACTTGTCCCAGTTTCTGCCAACCTAGCAGTTTGAAAGCATGTAAAAAATGCAAGTAGAAAAATAGGGACCACTTTAGTGGGAAGATAACAGCGTTCTGTGCACCTTCGGCATTGAGTCATGCCGGCCACATGACCATGGAGATGTCTTTGGACAGCGGTGGCTCTTCGGCTTAGAAACAGAGATGAGCACCATCCCCCAGAGCCGGAAACGACTAGCACGTATGTGCAAGGGGAACCTTTACCTTTACCTTTTTACTCTAGGAGAAATTTTAACGAGGGAGGGAAGGGGGAGGATAACCATCATAATTGGTTGATGTCATGTCATCAAATTGTTGTCAGCTGTGATTGACCATACAGATAGATTTTCATAAATCATAGATCAAATGAAAGCTGATGACATAGATGGCTGAAAGGGGGAAAGGGAATGGGAGACAGATGCAAGATGAGCCTGAGGGGGGGGGTCAAATGCGTCATCAATCATGAGTCCCTTCGCACTCACAAGAGATCTAAGTCCAGCCCATCTTGAATTCCTTCTACTCTTATCTCCCGCTAATTTCCCTTGGCTGTTAGTAGTTCAGATTCTTGTAGAGTGCTTAAGCTTGCAATAAATCTTTATATCCATTTGAACTGTCTGGATCTCCTGATTTTCCTGGCACTTGACCACAGGGTGCGTAAATTATGTATATTTAGGTATATATGTTAATATGCAAGCATGGGTTTGGTCAATCAGAATTATCTAGATTAGCTACTCATGTCAAACCCATTGTCATCTAATTGCAATGGCATTAGAACAGAATTATAGGACTTTTAGGGTGATTTCACATTGGACTGATCTTTTGGCTGAAAAAGCAGAATTTCTGTGGCCAGCCAAGGCAACTGCTAATAGGAAAGGATGAACTCTTAGCACCACCAAGTGTAACCCAAGAGATTATTTAGGCAGAATCTGAGATGGTCTAATTTTCTGCATCCAAACAGATGAAGTGGTGATTTTGAAGAGGCCCCTGGTTAAATCTCTTCATTACCTTTGGTCCTCAGATCTCACAAAAAGGCATGTATCATAGAAAGTTTGGCATAAACAGTGTCGGTGTAGAACAGTATAAGGGCATTATCAGATGTTGGCTCTGCTATTTTGTAGATCGGAGTCAACTATTGTTTGATTGACTTGGCTCATAGGTTTTTTTTGATCCCATCATAAGCAGGTCGGCGCAGAGAATTGCCAGTAAGGCTGTTGATTAAAATATTTGTCTCCTTCAAGAAGAAGGAAATCAAATATTTAGGTATCGACATCCCAAAAGATATTCAAGAGTTCAAGAAAATAAATGAGGAAAAGCTAAAGAAAGATATAAAAGATCAAATAGATAAATATGAGAAAGTAAAACTTTGAATGATTGTTAAGGACCAGGCCTTTGACAAGGATTACTACTATTGATCCATCCTAGGAGCATGAAATGGGTTTGTTTACTTAAGAAGTCCAAAATAACAATAAAAATCCCTACCTCTGCTTATCAAGAGAATGTCTATCTTCTGGAACATCCCATACAGCATCAAGCAAGAGTTGCTCATAACTAAGATTTTCTTTAATAATAAAAACTCCTTTTATTCCCCTCAAGTCAAGCTTTTGTTAATATATGAATAGAACAGAGAGGATCTTTTGATGTTGACGTCTTTTTTCCCCCCACAACCAGAGATATGTTGAAAACTCGAACATCATGGCTTGTTACAATGAACTCATACAGTTGGAATTTGGAGAAGTACAGGCACAATTTAAACTAAGGTAATGCTACTTATCTCAACTTAATATTCTTGGCACAGGAAAAACCTGTCCTGACTTAACACAGGAATTGGTTGAGATTTGATCCCTGCTGAAGTCTACAGTAAGGCTCGTGATGGCTCAGGGGTTAAAAATGCTGACAGCCCCGGTTCGAGACCCGTGCTCTGTGCAATGGGGTGAGCTCCTGTTCTTTGCTCCAGCTGCTGCCCTCCTAGCAGTTCGAAAGCATGCAAATGTGAGTAGATAAATAGGTATCACTTTGGTGGGAAAGTAACAGCATTCTGTGGGCCTTTGGGGTATGCTGGCCACATGACCACGGAAAATGTCTTCGGACAGTGTTGGCTCCTTTGGCCAAGAAACAGAGATGAGCACCGAGTCCTAAAGTCGGACACAACTGAACAGAAAAACCTTTACCTTTTGAAAGTCTACAGTGGTGTCTTGAAGAACTGACGTGAAATGGCCAGAGAAAGCAGACCATTTCTTCTCCATGGACTATCCATGATTATGGGTTAGGGAGGAGCAAATCAAATCATTATATGCAAGGTATATAGTAATCTGATATATATATGGAGTTGAACTGAGGCGACGGTTTGCGTGCCATTCAGAGAGGGCGCTGTGTGCCACCTCTGGCTCGCGTGCCATAGGTTTGCCATCACGGTACTAGCGCATTCTTTTTTTCCTAGATCTTGAAAAGTCTATGTGATTTCGATCTAATGCATCTGCTTCTTTTTTCCTCCCTTTGCATTTAGGGCTTGTAATTCGATATTTACGGCATTAGAGAAAAGTCAAGAAGCCACTGAGATTACAAGTGAAGACCATGTAATACAGGTTTGCTCGGTTTTTGGGTTTTTTTACGAGTGTCCGATATTGTCCTGTGGTTTTGTATGATTTGATTCTTTTGCTTACTTCAGGCGCACAGATAGGCATGCGCAGACATAAAATATATACATCTGCGTGCGTCGAATTGCCTTAGAAACTGTTCTTAATGCCGTACGTGTTTTTCTGACCTTTCCGTGAAAGAGGGGAAAATCCATTTTAAAAACCTTTTGTTTTAAAATAAGTGTTTTGTTTTTGTAGGCTGTATCTTTTTTTTTATTGAAAAAGTTTTACAAACATCAATTTTTCCCCCATTTGCCCCCCCTGTCCCTCCCTAACCCCCCCCAAACCCTCCCTCCCCATGACTTCCCCAGGGTGAAATCCATCCACATTATATTCTATCATACTTTACCACCCCTCTATTCTCCCCCCCTGTGCACTATACATTTCTACATAGCAATAAATTTTGTAGGCTGTATCTTCACAAAGTGTCTTGCTTAGCTTCAGGGCAGTTTGTATTTTACCCCAAGGTCATTAAAAACTTCTAATGATGCTTATCTTGCTCGTCTCAAAAGTCAGGTATATGCATTTCAAAGGGGGAAGGAAGTTTAAAAATAAGATCCTTGTGTCTTTTATGCATCTCTTCTAGGGTGAAAGAAGCAGGACGCTTTTTAGCAGAATCAGGACGCAATTCAGTTCGAAGCACCACCCAAACAAATGTTGGTTAATGCTTCCCCCCTCAAACAATGGGGGAATGGTTGCAAAATGCTTTCATTTTACTACCTTGATGGGACTAACCTGTATCTCCCAGCATACCTCATTCCCGGCTATGATGCCTGAGATAGCTGGTGGGTTATAATTGTGCCACATCCAGAAGGCCGTTGAGATGATTGTGGGACTGGAAGGTAGCAAGACCAGTTGGTTTACAATCGAAACCAGTTTTGGCCAGCGAGGGTTAGATTTGGTCTGGGAAACCTGAAGTCACGCGGCACAGTTTTTAAAAAGAGAAAAGGTTGATTTTAAGACTACTAGAGAGAGAAGGCTAAGCTTTATTTATTTTATTCATTTATTTTTTTTTATCAAGCATTTATAAGGTAACAGATATACCAAGAGCCTTGGTAGTACAGGGGTTTAAGGCACCCTGTTATTAAGCTGGTTATTAAGACCAGCTGCCTGCAATTACTGCAGGTTCGAATCTCGCCAAGGCTCAAGGTTGACTCAGCCTTCCATCCTTTCTAAGGTAGGTAAATTGAGGACCCAGTTTGTGGGGGCAATAAGCTGACTTTGTATAAATATACAAAAGGATGAAGGCTATTGCTTAGCGCATTGTAAGCCGCCCCGAGTCTTCGGAGAAGGGCGGCATATAAATCAAATTTTTTTAAAAAAAAGTATAAACATGATTATGAATACAGGAAATGGCTACGAATAAATGGGGACAGTAGGACAGGAACGGAAGGCAGCCTGGTGCGCTTATGCAGGCCCCTTACAGACCTCTCAGGAATGGGGTGAGGTCGACAGTAGACAGTCTAAGGTTAAAAGTTATGGGGGTTTGGGGAAGAAACCACAGAGTCAGGTAGTGCATTCCAGGCATTGACCACTCTGTTGCTGAAGTCGTATTCTCTGCAATCGAGTTTGGAGTGGTTTACCTTAAGTTTGTATCTATTGTGTGCACGTATGTTGTTGTGGTTGAAGCTGAAGTAGTCATTGACAGGTAGGACGTTGTAGTAGATAATTTTGTGTACTATGCTTAGGTCAGACCGTAGGCGGCATAGTTCTAGTTGTTCAACCCCAAAATTTGAAGCCCGGTGGCATAAGGTATTCTGTTGCGAGCAGAGGAGTGGAGGAGTCTTCTCCTGAAATACCTCTGGACTCTCTCAATTGTATTAACGTCCGATAAGCAAGTTTTATTTACTCCTCAATATCTTTAGGTAAACACTGGGGTGTGGACTCCACTACCCCATAACCCATCTCGAATTAATTCTTCAGTCCTCCCATTGCGCTGTTTCTCAACCGTGGTGGTTTTCAGAAGGATGGACTTCAGTTCCCAGAATTCCCCAGCCAGTGTGCAGGCTGAGGAATTCTGGCAGTTGAAATCCACCCATTCTGTTCATTGGTGATGTTCTGTGGCCGATCTGATCCATGGACTCTGTTGCGGGGGCAAAAAACAGTCATATACTGGAGAACAAGCGATGTTGGACTCTAGGTTGGGTTCATACAGGGTCCATACAGGGTCCAGGTAAAGGGTCCTTTACCTGGTTGATCAACTCATTCGTTTTCAGGGTTTCTACAATATCCTGAGCCGTAACCCAACCAAACAGGCTAAATTCATGCAACATTGGAGTCAAACGAGTCACACACACATCCCAGTGATGGGATTCAACATTTTTTACTACTGGTTCTGTGGGCGTGGCTTGGTGGGTGTGGCATGGCTTGGTGGGTGTGGCTTGGTGGGCATGGCAGGGGAAGGATACTGTAAAATCCCCATTCCCACCCCACTCCAAGGGTGGGATACTGTAAAAATCTCCATTCCCTCCCCACTCCAGGGGAAGGATACTATAAAATCCCCATTCCCTCCCCACTCCAGGGGAAGGATACTGTAAAATCCCCATTCCCACCCCACTCCAGGGGAAGGTTACTGCAAAATCCCCACTCCCTCCCCACTGCAGGAGCAGGATACTGTAAAATCTCCATTCCCTCCCCACTCCAGGGGAAGGTTACTGCAAAATCCCCATTCCCACCCCACCGGGGGAAGGATACTGTAAAATCCCCATTCCCACCCCACTCCAGGGGAAGGTTACTGCAAAATCCCCATTTCTTCCCGATCAGCTGGGACTCTTGAGGCAGAGAATAGATGGGGGCGGGGCCAGTCAGAGGTGGTATTTATGGGTTCTGAACTAGACAAAATTTCTGCTACCGGTTCTCTAGAACTGGTCAGAACCTGCTGAATACCATCTCTCTCTCCTCCCCCCCATCTCTCTCACACACACACGGAGGGAGGGAGGGGGAGGAGAGAGAGAGAGAGAGAGAGAGAGGGAGGGAGGGAGGGAGAGAGAGAGAGAGAGAGAGAGAGAGAGAGAGGGAGGAGGGAGGGAGGGGGGGAGATGAGAGAGAGAGGAGAGGGAGGGATGAGGGGGAGAGAGAAAGAGAGAGAGAGAGAGAGAGAGAGGGAGGGAGGGAGGGGGAGAGAGAAGAGAGAGAGAGAGAGAGAGAGAGGGAGGGAGGGAGGGAGAGAGAGAGCTGCCAGAGTTCAGCATGTGTGAATGAAGCCAGTCGATATTTAAAGAAATGGTTAAGGGTGTTACGCAGTCCCATTGAAGGGGTGAGAGTAGAGTGGGGATTACATATCACTAAATGCCTTGTTTAATTATTTATTTAAGCATTACAATTTCATCACTATCCGTTTAGCCTTTCTGCTAAAAGGGTTCCCCCGTAATAGGACAGCCTCTGCGCTTGGATCTGTTCCCGGATCTGTTTTATTGAAAGCAGTTCTAGACAGTTTAGAAAATGTGCATCGAGGCTAAACATTAGATCAATGCTCAGATTGATCTTAAATTCTCACCTGTTTCTCTCTCTTTTTCCCCCCCCCTTACTCTTTTCGTAGTATGTCAATCCTGCGTTTGAAGAGGTAATGGGCTATCAGAAAGGCGAATTAGTAGGAAAGGAACTAACAGAAGTGCCTATAAATGAAAAAAAAGCTGATTTCCTTGACACTATTAATTCTTGCATCAAGTTTGAAAAGGTAGGCACGGACCTGGTTTTGTGTGGCAAGGGTTATTCAGAAGTGGTTTGCCATTGTCTCTTTCCTAGGGCTGAGAGAATGTGACTGGTCTGAGGTCACCCTGCCAAATACGGGTCTAGAACAGTAGTGGGTTTCCAAAAATTTTACTACCGGTTCTGCGGGTGTGGCTTGGTGGGCGTGGCAGGGGAAGGATACTGTAAAATCTCCATTCCCTCCCCACTCCAGGAGAAGGATACTGTAAAATCCCCATTCCCTCCCCACTCCAGGGGAAGGATACTGTAAAATCCCCATTCCCTCCCCACTTCAGGGGAAGGTTACTGCAAAATCTCCATTTCCTCCTGATCAGCTGGGACTCAGGAGGCAGAGAATAGATGGGGACGGGGCCAGTCAGAGGTGGTATTTGCCGGTTCTCCAAACTACTCAAAATTTCCCCTACCGGTTCTCCCGAACTGGTCCGAACCTGCTGAAACCCACCTCTGGTCTAGTACTCCTGGTATCCTATTTCTAGCCTCTTCTCATTTGGAAGAGTAAAGACTGGAGGTGATAAAATATCTCTCTCAGGCAACTAAAACAGAAGTTTTTCACTGAGAATTTATTTATATTTCGTCTTTGTTTTTAAGTTACTTGTTTGGGCTATGATAAATGTTAGTGGCTGTAGTTTGGGACTCTGTTGGGAAGCGCAGCTATGGGTCTTTTGGGGCCATCTCCTACTTGAAGGTTGCAGCTCATCGTTGCAAATGATGTTATGGAAGTAAGCAGGAACGGGAAAAGCTTGGTTGTTTTCTTGCAGATGTTTCATTACCCAAGTAGGTAACATCAGGAGTGCTGGGGTGTTCGCAGGGGTTCGGGAGAACCTCTAGCTAAGATTCTGTGCAGTTTGGAGAATCCCCAAATCCCACTCCTGGCTGGCCCCTCCCCTCCCAGGAGTCCCCATGCGACTTTGGATGCAAGTAAGTGCAGGTCACTCCTGGCAAATAGATGGGGAAGAAATGGAGGTAGTGACAGATTTTATTTTCCTGGGCTCCAAGATCACCACAGATGGGGACTACAGCCAAGAAATTAAAAGACGCTTGTTCCTGGGGAGGAAAGCTATAGCAATTTTACACAGCATTGTAAAAAGCAGAGACATCACCCTGCCAACAAAAGTGCGTACAGTCAAGGCTATGGTTTTCCCAGTTGCAATGTATGGCTGTGAAAGTTGGACCATAAGAAAGGCTGAGCGCCAAAGAATGGAGGCCTTTGAACTCTGGTGCTGGAGAAGACTCCTGCGAGTCCCTTGGACTGCAAGGCTATCCAACCAGTCAGTCCTAGAGGAGATCAACCCTGACTGCTCTTTAGAAGGCCAGATCCTGAAGATGAAACTCAAATGCTTTGGCCACCTAATGCGAAGGAAGGACTCACTGGAGAAGAGCCTAATGCTGGGAAAGATTGAGGGCAAAAGAAGACGACAGAGAATGAGGTGGCTGGATGGAGTCACTGAAGCAGCCGGCATGAGCTTAAATGGACTCCAGAGGATGGCAGAGGACAGGAAGGCCTGGAGGAACGTTGTCCATGGAGGTCGCTATGAGTCATACATGACTTTGCAACTAAGAACAAGCAGGGCGCACGCAGAGACTCGGTGAGGGCGAAAAATGGGCCTACCGGAAGTTTGGGAGGGCCTCCAGAGCCTGGGGAGGCCCTTTTCGCCCTCCCGGAGGCTCAAAGAAAGCCTCCAGAGCCCGGGGAGGGCAAAAAGCCCCCCCTATGGTGCAGGAGGCTGACTAGCCACACCCACCATGGCCATGCCCACCCAGCAACCGGGCAGAGAATCCCTTGCTAAAATTTTTGAAGCCTACCCTGGGGTAACATCATCAGTGCTAGTCTATAGATAGACTAGCACTGATGATGTTACGTAGTTTGGATAATGATCTGCAAGAAAACAACCAAGCTCAGAGAGCATCAAAGACCCTTCATTTCAACCCCGAGCTACAAATATTCTCCTTTATCGGGGAGAGCTTTATTTGCTTCAAGCAAATACGTTCTATTTTTGTTGTTGTTGTTGTTTCCAGAACTAAAGAAGCATTGAAAAGCATCCGGCATGCATGTGCTAAAAGCTGGGAAAATTTTCAACCTCTTTGTGCAAAATGCCATCACAATTTTAATTCAATGTCGGTGGCCTTCGGGGGGGGGGGATGGGTCATTAGCTGTAATGTATACAACAGAAAGTTCCAGTTAGATGCCAAGTGGGTAAAGACCGAGGGGGGAAAGATTTGAGTGAAGCAACAAAGTCAAACAGAAGCGCAGGAAGAGGTTACAGCAAACAGTACAACATTGTGTCAAGGCTAGGAAAGAATGAGTTGGCCAACCCTCCCAAAAGCAGAACTTTCCCACAAGGCAACCCTCCAAAATCAGTTGCAAGCAAACAGAGTCAAAAGATGGGTTTTGGGAATCAGCGGTAGAACATTCTTCTTTTTTTGGATCTACAGGAATGGCAAGGAACGTACTATACCAAAAAGAAAAACGGCGAGAGCATACAACAAAATGTGAAGATCATACCTGTCATTGGACAGGGAGGGTAAGTCTCATCGTGGGGACTTCGATTCAGGTTTTTGGACTCCCGCTGGCTACCTGGATAGGAGATACATATATACTATCAACTCTGAAGATCGATGTATCTATCATCTATCTATCTATCTATCTATCTATCTATCTATCTATCTATCATCTATCTATCTATCATCATAAAACTGGACATAACTCAATAACTGCCTCGAGGACTACTTGTATAGAGATGTTTTTCTTCATCTTCATAATTATTTTTCCTGCTCTTCTGTTCTTAATATTCATAGACTACTTTCTCTGCATTCCCATTGCAAGGAACCCAGAGATCCCAAATGATCACAAAAAAAGGCAGAATCCTGCCCCTCTTCCTTGTCTAGATTTCATTTTATTTTATAAAAAAAGATTTAGTGGTAGGCAAATGACAAATGGAGCCAAGCTGACAAGTTGGAGAGACCAAATTGTTCTCATTCCATTCTTCTGTTTCATTCCTGCAGAAAAATCAGACACTATGTGTCACTTAGTAGACCGTGCAATGACAACAATAAGGTAAGCAAAAATAACAACAACAATAATAATTATAAAAAGCATTTTTAAATGTTCGGTTGGCTGAGTTTCATGTTTAATGAATAAAAATTTATAATAATCATCATCATCATTTCAACCTGCGATGATATCTGTAACACCATCAAATATCCAGATCTGCCTATCCCAGGTGCTTGGTAAGGACTCAATAGGTACACAAAAATATGCCAGACCCAGTCTGAACAGCTGGCTGATTGTGCGATGATCAATAATAATAAAAAACATGATGAATTTATGTATTTAATTAACTCAGCTTCAAGGCCACTCAACTCCTCAATGACAATTTTACAAAATAATTCCAGGTTGATTCTTACAACTTGGGTTAATTGTACTTTTTTGCTCTGATTCATTCATAGGCGGAAAGAATCTGCGAACGGGTACAAGCCGAGTCCCAAACAGGTACAACATTACAACTGCTCAAAATTGGTTGCATTTCAATAATTGCTTTGTTGTTCTCTCCTAATTGACTTTATGTCAGCGTTTGGTTTTTTTCTCTCTCTTAAAAAATGGGTGTTTTCTAGGCATATTTTGGAAGAGCCAAATTAGGGATATCAACAGTGAAAACCTTAATAAACCAATCACACCCAATTGTGCAGGGTTCTGTGGTGGCAGGAAATTCAACTTGTTGGGTGAAACTAAGCTTATCTTTGGATTAATGTGTAAAACAATGTTTTTTGTTTGGGCCCGGCAAATTATGCCAACACAGCAGTAGTTGGTTTCAAATCCCAGCGCTACCAATTCGCCATCGGTAGCGCGCGAGTGCACATGCTCGCTTTGTGAGTGCGTGCTGCTTCTGCACATGCACAGGGCATTTTCGATAACATCTCAGTGGGTGGGCGGAGCTTGCCACTGCCGCTATGGGTTTGCCCGAACTGGGAGCAACCCGCCACTGCAACACAGCCATGGTTTGAGAATTGAAGCTTTCGATGCACTGAGTTTAGGAATTGTAGCAAGGAGACTGAAACAGATGTGATAACGGCTAAAGAAAAACAATAACATTTGTCCAGCAATAAAATGATATCCTAGGAGGGAGGCTAAATAAGGAGAAAACTATCTGGTCCGGGCGCAGCCGTGTTTCAAAACCGATGGGGATCAAAGAAAGCTTGACTGTTTGATGTGTACATTACGTGGGACTCCAATTTAGCTTTCTCCCCCTGTAGTAATCGCTGATAAAGCTTCAGTAACTTAGATTTAATATCTTCAAGGGCAGAAGTTGAATTTTACCCCGGCTAGAAATAGAACTTATGAAGGGCATGTTTGTTTGGCTGCTGCTATGACAAGCTATAGGTGCTGTATTTAGTATTCGTAAGGTAGGACTTTTGCAGATCAGGCAAAATCTAATTTCATTAATCTCATCCATTTTTGGGGAAATGAAATTTGGATCAGTCAAGGGCTATTCTCTTTGAAATTTAAGAGAAAAAAAAATATCTACCCGAAAGCAAGTCACTGGTCCATTCAGGAACAGAACAGAACAGAACAGAACAGAATAGAATAACAGAGACGGAGCCTGGCCCGTCCGTCAGCCCTCAGATGGAGAGTCAACAGCCCTCAAGTCTGAAGGTGGCTGATGAGAAAGAGGAGGAACAGCTGGGTCCAGTGCCTGATGCACGGATGTGCAGAAGGCAGAGGAGATGAGAGCAGATGAAATCCATGGGTTCTTAATTCAAGGCAGAATTGATCTTACCATTGAGATGGAACCAAGTGTCTCGGCTAAGCAACCGATTCCAATTACCAAATACAAAAGTTAAGAATTTGGGGCCAGCAGAGAAGCTTCAGGAGCGATGAAAAATGAGTTCCTACCTCTTCGGAAGAGAGGCGCTCTTTCTCAGAGTAGTCATGATCTAATTTTTTCATTTTTACAGATATCCAGACCTGCAGGCACAAAGACAAGAGAAAAGGATCTCTTGATGTCCGATCCACTACCTCTCGAGGCAGTGATGGTATAGGATTACCTTTTTTTTTTTTTTTGTAAAATTACCTTTTTAAATTACCTTCTCGATAATCAGTACCCTTGGGTCAAGTACTTCCTTCAAAACCCATGATATACCTATGAGACCATCTTTTGCCACCAATAGCCTCCCACCGACCAGTTCGTTCTCACAGGGAGGGACTACTCAGGGTACCGTCAGTCAAATTATGCCGACTGGCGACTCCCAGGGGGAGGGCCTTCTCTGTGGGGGCTCCAACCCTTTGGAATGAACTGCCCCCGGAGATATGGAATATCCCTATCTCCGTGCTTTCCGCCGTGCCCTCAAGACCCTGATGTTCCAACAGGCGGGGCTAAACATATGAACATGTGAATGATTTTTAAAAATGTTATCTAATTCTGGGTTTTATTCAATTGGCCAAACTAAGTAATAATTTTAATTAGCAATTTTATGATGTTTGTGTGTCTATATTTTTCTTGGCTGTACACCGCCTTGAGTCCTACGGGAGAAAGGCGGTATAGAAATATAATTAATAAATAAATAATAAATAAATGATATGGGCTTGCCTTCCTTGTTGGGTGGGGGAATTGCAGCGACAAAGTTGTAAACTTTGGGTGTCTAGTGAAGCAAACGCATGCATTCTGTTCTCCCAGCTCCTGTTTTTATTAATGCAGTCAGACTCTGCTGGTGAAATTTGGATGTGCAGAAGATCAGGCAGAGCCTAGGGGAGTGGAGTCAAAAGAGGAATTAGCTTGGAATCGTTAAGTTCCCACAAGCGGTCTAAATTCAAACCCTCTTGAATTCCAGTGACCCTTACCTAGTGCCAGTGTAGTGCTGACCATTAGTTGACTAAATTCTTGTGTGCAGGCATGAGCAACAAACCAGCTTAACTGGAACCTATCATGTCCTGATTCTGCGCACCTGACACAGTGTTTGCTGGCTTTGTGTTGCAATGTAAAATATTTTAGTGAACAGAAAACTAATCTTCAGTAAGAACAATGTTAGTTTGGAGAAGCTAATGCCAGCAACTCATGCGCCTCTTCATTTTTTCCCCCCCTTGCATAGGAAGTTCTCAGAGGAGGCATTCATCCATGGCCCGCATTCATTCAATGACGATTGAGGCACCTATAACCAAGGTAAGGTGCTCCCATGTGAGGTCACTTCCATCGGTTGGAAACTTTGCTTTCTTCTGTTATAAAACTCCCATGTCCTTGCCTGGTGATGATGGAGGTGCTGTCCAGTGGTGGTATTCAGCCGGTTATATCCGGTTCGGGCGAATTGATAGCGGCAGCTGCGGGAGGATCTGCCCACCCGCCCGGACGTCATGTCCTGTTTTTGACGGTCTGCGCATGAGCGGAAGGCTCTGTGCATGTGTGGAGTTGGCACGTGCCCTCACATTTGCGAACCGGTAGCGAAGGTAAGTGAATACCATCCCTGGCACAGTCGTTAGAATGCAGTATTGCAGACTAATTCTGCCAACTGCCAGCAGTTCGATCCTGCTCAAGGTTAACTCAGCCTTCCATCCTTCCGAGGTCGGTAAAATGAGAACCCAGATTGTTGGGGGAAATATGCTGACTTTGTAAACCGCTTAGAGAGGGCTGTAAAGCACAGTGAAGCGGTATATAAGTCTAAGTGCTATTGCTATTGTTTGGGCATTGTTTCTTGACTCTTCAAGTTAAGGGAAAGGGAAAATGTATTCCTTTTAGATAAATAAAGGTTTATTTCTTTCCCCCCCCCCCCATTTAGGTAATAAATATTATCAACGCTGCTCAAGAAAGCAGTCCCATGCCAGTGGCTGAAGCGTTGGATAGAGTCCTGGAGATCTTGAGGACTACTGAGTTGTATTCTCCACAGCTTGGCACCAAAGATGAAGATCCGCACACAAATGACCTTGTCGGTGGCTTGATGACGGTAATTAAAATCTCAAAGTATTTGAATTTGTTCGTTGGAACGGCTGATGGCATCCCAGTCTGCTCACCGCAGCCATCTTGCAACGATAGTAAATCATGAGCCATTGCTTCTCTGCCAGCTGCAGGTCCGGAAATATATTGACAAAGAGTTTCTTGCAGCTTCCATTGATCAGCCCAACGGGTTTTAGATGAAAATTCAGCTCAGCCTTCAGATGGATAATTAGCTGTGCTAAACCCTGTTTAGAAACATCTTGCTGTTCTGACCCAGTGTTCTGACCCAGCTCCCCAAACACGACATACCCTCTGAAGTGAACTCAAAGATTCCTTTATTAGGAATGCCGGCAGCCCCGGTAAAGTTTCTCTCTCAATGCAGGCTAACAAGTCCGCCTGGCCGACCAATTTTATCCATTCAAAGGAAGACAGGCAAAAGCAGGAGTGCTTCCGAGCAGAGATTTCCTTTCTAGTGTGATTGCTCTAGAATCAGGGGTAATAGAATTTGCTTAAAGGTAAAGGTTCCCCTTGCACGTATGTGCTAGTTGTTCCCGACTCTAGGGGGCGGTGCTCATCTCCGTTTCAAAGCCGAAGAGCCAGCGCTGTCAGAAGACGTCTCTGTGGTCATGTAGCTGGCATGACTAAATGCCAAAGGCACACGGAACGCTGTTCCCTTCCCACCAAAGGTGGTCCCTATTTTTTCTACTTGCATTTTTTACATGCTTTCAAACTGCTAGGTTAGCAGAAGCTGAGACAAGGAACGGGAGCTCACCCCGTTACGTGGCACTAGGGATTCGAACCGCTGAACTTCCGACCTTTCTGATCGGCAAGCTCAGTGTCTTAGCCACTGAGCCACCGCGTCCAACCAATTGAGAGCCTGGTTTTTGCTTCTGGATTAGATAGTGGTGGATAGAGGGTTCAAACAACACCTCCTGATTTATATTCCCTTTATTCCATTACCTATCCCAAAGGTGTAAATTGAAGAAGGGTCTTTATTTCATTCCATGTTCTTTTTCAACTTTATTCAATAGGATGGACTCCGAAGATTATCAGGGAACGAATACCTATTATCGGCAAAGCGTAAGTGCCATTCTTTACCTTACTAGATATCGTGCGAGCTTCAGCAATTTCATTTTGGGTATATCAGCACAGTCAAAAATTATTTTGAAGAGGGGCAAACAAATCAGCAAGAGTTGTATAATTACTGCTGTATCATCAGACCCTTGTTAGTCAGGCAGCAAGCTAAAGGCGCCATTTTAAAGAGTTTTCAAAGGGTATCTTGTTTGCTAAGAGGCTTAAAGTTTGGTAAATACTTTGAAGATAACAGGCCAGCTTGCAGCCCTAACAGACAAAACATAAGGAGGAGGAAAAAGAGAATATGGAGATTAGTTCTTGAAGTTAAAGCAAAAACCATTTGGCCAAGAAAGTGGTCTCCAGGTTTTCGGTGTTTTATAAGGACACTCATCTCCTCATCTTAGCTGCTCTGAGTGATAAAGAAAGCCGGATCATATTTCTCTCCATTCTTGCCCTCTCATAAAGCTTCCAGTTTAATGAAGTGGTATTTCTGGTTGGAAGAGGAGAATCATACAGATAGTCCTTGACTTGCAACCAGGGGTGAAATCCAGCAGGTTCTGACAGGTTCTGGAGAACCGGTAGCGGAAATTTTGAGTAGTTCAGAGAACCAGCAAATACCACCTCTGGCTGGCCCAGAGTGGGGAGGGAATGGGGATTTTGCCATATCCTTCCCCCAGGAGATCAGAGGTTAGGATGAAGGGTAATATGGTCTACAAAAATTAGAGAGAATAAATACTATGGCAAAAAGGGAATATATAAATTGTGTTGGAAATGACTAAAATTGTTGAAATTTTTGAACCGGCCAATACTCTGTTCAGAAAAAAATACATTGTATGTTTGTTTGTTTGTGTAAAAAATAAAAAAAAACGTTAAAAAAATATCACCATATAAAAAACAAGATATACAAAAATGATCACCATGTCAGTTAATCCTTCGTTGGGTAACCTTTAAGCATGAATTACGGCCTTACAACGTCTTCCCATGGAGTGAACCAAGTCTTTTAGTTCTGCAGCTGTGATAATGTGAAACCAAGATTGAATGATGGCTTCTATTAACTGGGTTTTATTGCTGGGTCACTTCTGACTAACAAATTTCTTTAGTGGGCTCCACAGATTTTCAATTGGGTTAAGGTCTGGGCTATTCCCAGGCCATTCCAGCAGTGGAATAGGATTATCTTGAAACTCCCCCCAAAAAAGTGGTGTTATTAGCCATCAAACCTCAAAAATACACTTTTTCCACAAGGAGATGTAAGACGAGAGATGCAGGTTGTTCCTGGCTCTGTTTCCTCCTGAGAGATCCAGCTGTTCCTGTAATGTTCCTGTTCCTCTGTCTTCGTTTTTTTTTAGAAACCCATCAAGTACCGGGCAGTTTGATCTCGCCCATCTCCCTGAACGACATCCCTCCCAGGATAGCTCAAGCGATGGAAAATGAACAAGACTGGGATTTTAATATTTTTGAGTTGGAGGCTGCAACTCATAAAAGGTTGGTAGGAGAAGCAGAAGCAAAAAATCAAAAAAAAAAAAAAAGGATACACAGGAGCTGTATTCTGGGAGAGATTGATTTGGTGCAGTAAGAAGAGGGGAAAATAAATTACCTTTTTTCTCTTCTTCTTCTTCTTCGCTCCAGGCCTTTAGTTTATCTTGGCCTCAAACTGTTTGCTCGCTTTCGGATCTGTGAGTTTCTCGGTTGCTCGGAGTCGACGCTGAGGTCTTGGTTGCAAGTCATCGAAGCCAATTATCACTTATCCAACTCTTATCACAATTCAACCCACTCGGCGGATGTGCTTCATGCCACGGCCTATTTCCTTTCTAAAGAAAGAGTAAAAGTAAGTCTAAAGGGGCTGCCACCAAGAAGAGGAGGGTGGGTCGGCCTTTTCTCCAAAGCAGGCATGAGGGAAGAAGTGAGGGATGGAAAGAAAAGAGTCGGTTCAAGGAGAGAAGCAACTTAGAACCTAAGGAGAAATTTCCTGACAGTGAGAACAATGAATCAGTGGAACGACTTGCCTCAGGGGTGAAATCCAGCAGGATCTGACAGGTTTTGGAGAACCGGTAGCAGAAATTTTGAGCAGTTCGGAGAACCGGTAGCGGAAATTTTGAGCAGTTCAGAGAACCGGTAGCGGAAATTTTGAGCAGTTCAGAGAACCGGTAGCAGAAATTTTGAGCAGTTCAGAGAACCGGTAGTGAAAATTTTGAGCAGTTCAGAGAACCGGTAGCGGAAATTTTGAGCAGTTCAGAGAACCGGTAGTGGAAATTTTGAGCAGTTCAGAGAACCGGTAGCGGAAATTTTGAGCAGTTCAGAGAACCGGTAGCGAAATTTTGAGCAGTTCAGAGAACCGGTAGTGGAAATTTGAGCAGTTCAGAGAACCGGTAGCGGAAAATTTTGAGCAGTTCAGAGAACCGGTAGCGGAAATTTTGAGCAGTTTGAAGAACCAGCAAATACCACCTCTGGCTGGCCCCAGAGTGGGGTGGGAATGGAGATTTTGCAGTATCCTTCCCCCAGGAGTGGGGTGGGAATGGAGATTTTGCAGCATCCTTCCCCCTGGAGTGGAGTGGGAATGGAGATTTTGCAGTATCCTTCTTCTCCCTCTCAGCAAACCTTGGATCCCATCGACGAAGTTGCTGCGTTGATCGCTGCCACCGTCCACGACGTGGATCATCCTGGGAGAACCAATTCTTTCCTGTGTAACGCCGGAAGCGAACTGGCCATTTTGTATAACGACACCGCGGTCTTGGAGAGCCACCACGCGGCACTGGCCTTCCAGATCACCACCCGGGATGACAAATGCAACATTTTTAAAAACATGGAGAGGTAGGTTTCTAAAAATACCAGGATTCTTTAAGAGGGTTTGCACTGCCGGCATAGTTTTGAAAAGGGTTTTGTTTTGACTGCATGACGATATGTGGAGGAGTAGCGATGGAGGGAGATAAGCATTTCGAGGGGAAAGATATAAGGAATACTGCATCCAGTTTTGGTCGCCACGATGTAGAAAAGATGTGAAGACTCTAGAAAGAGTGCAGAGAAGAGCAACCAAGATGATTAGGGGATTGGAAGCGAAAACATATAAAGAACTGTTGCAGGAACTGGGTATGTCTACTTTAATGAAAAGAAGGACTAGGGGGGACATGATAGCAGTGTTCCAATATCTCAGGGGCTTCCACAAAGAAGAGGGAGTCAAGCTATTCTCCAAAGCACCTGAGGGCAGGACAAGAAGCAATGGGTGGAAACTAATCAAGGAGAGAAGCAATCTTAGAACTAAGGAGAAATTTCCTGACAGTTAGAACAATTAACCAGTGGAACAACTTGCCTCTGGAAGTTGTGGATACTCCAACACTGGAAGTTTTAAGAAGATGTTGGATAACCACTTGTCTGGAGTGGTGTAGGGTTTCCTGCCTAAGCAGAGGGTTGGACTAGAAGACCTCCAAGGTCCCTTCCAAATCTGTTATTCTATTCTATTCTATTCTATTCTATTCTATTCTATTCTATTCTATTCTATTCTATTCTATTCTATTCTATTCTATTCTAACTGTCGTGAGTGTGGGTCATTTTATACATTAAATATATAATTTAATTATGCATTAAATTATATATTAATATGATTTATTAGACAGCCCTACTAAAATAACACAATTCTCCACCTATTTTTTTCCCCCTTTTGTCTTCTTTTATCTAGGAATGAATACCGAACTCTTCGACAAGCCATTATTGACATGGTCTTGGCCACGGAAATGACCAAACATTTTGAGCATGTCAACAAATTTGTCAACAGCATCAACAAGCCATTGGCTGCCCTTGATGAGAATGGGGTAAGAAGTCCTACCAAGAAGTAGAAGGGCAAGCAAAAGAGACTCTTACGTATTTAGAAATGAATAATTCCTCTCCTTATTTCAGGTTGATCAAAGACAGGGAAATGTATAGTAATAAACTTGTGTAAAGTTTTGTCCCTTTTGCAAAAGGGAGATACCATACTTTTCGCTCCATAGGACGCACTTTCCCCCCCCAAAAAAGTGGGTGGAAATGTCTTACGGAGCAAATATTGCATCACAGACCATGAAGTGTATAACCTCAGGGGTCCCCAATGGTGGACCCAATGGTGGACCGGTGCCGGTCCTTTGGTAAATAACAGCCAGGCCATAGTGGCGGGGTCCTTTTACAGTGCTGAACCCCGCCTCTTCTTTCTTTGTCATTGCCTGCCTCTTCTGTCTCTTTTCCGCAGTGCAGGAGTCAATAGGCAGAACTGGCACATGAGAGGACAGCTATCTGTGGTCCTCTCAGGCTCCGCCCGATTTTTTTTTTCTTGTTTTCCTCCTCTAAACCAGTGGTGGTATTCAGCCAGTTCTATCCGGTTCAGGCAAACCGGTGGTGGCGGGAGGCTCCGCCCACCCACCCGGCCATAATCACGTCCCGTTTTTGAAGCTCCGTTTCGATGGCCTCCTGCAACCCTCTGCCAGTGAAAAAGGAGCTTGGGAGGGCTGCACGTGGCCCTCGTGAGCTCCGTTTTCGGCTACGACGGCCTCCTGCAACCGTCTGCCAGCGAAAATGGAGCTTGGAAATGCCACCCGCAGTCCTCGTGAGGTCTGTTTTCAGCTGCGACGGCCTCCTACCACCCTCTGCCAGCGAAAATGGAACTTGGGAGTGCCACCCGCGATCCTCGTGAGGTCCGTTTTCAGCTGCGACGGCCTCCTGCAACCCTCTGCCAGCAAAAATGGAGCTTGGGAGGGCTACCCGCAGCCCTCTCAAGCTCCATTTTCTCTGGCAGAGGCACTGCAGGCCAATCCTTCGCTGTTTCCAGTGTGGTCCCACGGGCCAGATCCAGGCACCCTGCGGGCCAAATCCGGCCCCTGGACTTTGAGTTTGACACCCCTGACCTAAGCTACCTCCGTGAGTAAAGCATCAGTAGGGCTGTATGGCAAAGAATGCTCCAAGGGACAATTTGCAATCTGTCTTCATGGTGAGTCTGTTCAATCTCCGAGGAAGCCTTTGTTTTTATTTAAAAAAGGCATTTGAACAGGTATTCTTTTTCCATGGGGTGGGGGTGAGGGAAGCGAACCTTTCCCCATTTTTATTCCAATTTGAAACAGTGATGTCTTTTACTATGTCTAATGCTCTGGGGTTCTGGAGATGTGGATTTTGGCATGTTTGCTACTTCATTCCCACAAAAACAGCTGAGGAGGAAATCTTTTCAAAAGTTGGGATTTGTGAAGTTTCTAAATTTGGGTTTTTTTTTAAAAAAAGACCAGGGATCTGTCCTTTTCTCGAAAAATTAACTTGCCATTTTCCAATTGAGGCTGTGATGCTTTGAGAAGTCGTCTCCTCCGTGAAAAAAATCTTTGCCGTTTCTCTGGGAGAAACAGACTTGCTGAAAATTCGGCTTCCCTTCGCCTTTTTTTTTTTTTGGTGCTTTTTTTCACTCTGCTGTTTACTTTTGCATAGTGGATTGAAGGCTTCCTCTGCATTGGTAGCACTTTTAGAAGCCTTCGCAGGAGGAGACTGTTTCTGTGCTCGTCACAAAGGGCTTCTTTGAGCTTCCCATGAACTGTTTCCATTTATTCAGCAAAAAACTGGACCGAGCCCAAGTATTTCAAAACGGGAGCTGAAGTTCCAATTCCTTTAGTTATCCCAGCAGTTTTTGGACGAACGTTGGAAAACTCTTGAAGAGAGAGAGAGAGAGAGAGAGGGAGAGAGAGAGAGAGAGAGAGAGAGAGAGAGAGAGAGAGCGAGCTAGCTCACGCGGAGGCTGAGCCAGAGGTGGTATTCAGCAGGTTCTGACCAGTTCTGAAGAACCGGTAGCAGAAATTTTGAGTAGTTCAGAGAATCGGTAAATACCACCTCTGACTGGCCCAGCCCCCATCTATTCTCTGCCTCCCGAGTCCCAGCTGATCGAAACTACCCAGCTATGGATGAAACATGTAACAGTGATACCCATTGTCATCGGGGCACTTGGTACCATGTCCAAGAATGTTATAAAACACATCAAAAAATTGCAGCTTCCTGCAATAACACCAGCGGAACTGCAAAAAACTGCACTAGAGCCTATAGTACAGTGGACTAAAGCACTGTTATTAACATCTGCTGCTTGCAATTACTGCAAGTTCAAATCTCACCAGGCTCAAGGTTGACTCAGCCTTCCATCCTTTCAAAGGTAGGTGAAATGAGGACCCAGATTGTGGGGGCAATAAGATGACTTTGTATAAAATATACAAAAGTATGAAGGCTATTGCTTAACGCACTGTAAGCCACCCTGAGTCTCCGGAGAAGGGCGGCATATAAATTAAAGCAAAAAAAACAACAACAAAAACTGCGCTACTCAGAACATGATATATTTTAAGAAGGTACTTGGTTGATACCTAGGACGCTGGCAGCAACCCGTATCAACCATTAGCACCAGTCAATGGTCTTTGTAATGCATTTTTGAATGTTCAGTTGACTGAGTTTCATGTTTAATGAATAAAGTATATAATAATAATAATAATAATAATAATAATAATAATAATAATAATAATTCGATAATATTTGTAAATTTTGTTTCCCTAAGAGTACCAATGGCGATGGGGATCCCATCAAAAACGTCCTCACGTCTGCTGAGAATCGAATCCTGATCAAACGGATGCTAATTAAGTGTGCTGATGTTTCCAACCCCTGCCGTTCGTTGGAACAGTGCATTGAGTGGGCAGGTCGGATCTCGGAGGAGTATTTTGCACAGGTGAGTTAAGACAACAAGCTGAAGAAATCCCCGCTGGATGTCAGCCTTCATTTTTCCCAGGAGATGAAAAGGGAGATGGAAGTAACACTTTTGCCGAGACTTCACTGGGCTCTAAATCTCTTTGGTGCCCCTCAATGAAAAAAATGATACTTTGGTTTATGTCTATGGAGATTCTCAGTCTTCCAGGTCATGATGACACAGATAAACCTCCAACTGACCTCAACGACTCTGTAAAAGGATGCAAATGACCAGATGTCTGCAAGGAGTATAAATCCTTCCATTCCACACCATCATCCAGTCAGAGCTGAAGAAGCTTCTTGGATGAGAAGCGAAAGGTCTTCAAAAGAAAGAAGAAAGTCTAGTTACCCCTAGAAAAAGCACCTTTGAGATAGCTTGGTTTCTTGTCCTGTTGTTTTATTTCTGAAATATATAAGTGGATATTTGCGATTTCCCCATCATTTCCCCAGGGTTACAGCTACACAACCCTTACAGAACTAGAGGAGATATTGTTAGCCGTAATAAACCAAATAATTGTGTGCATTGGGTGTTGTTCAGGGGTGAAATGATACCAGTTTGGGGCGGTTCGCCCGAACCGGTAGTGAAAATGCTACTGGTTCGCCTGAACCGGTAGTAAAAAAAATGCTTTAAAAAGTAAAAAAAAAAAAGTTCCTACGATCATGCAGAACAGCTGATCCTTGGAATTTTTTAAAAAACTTTTTTTAAGGATATTTTTTGCTATCGGTTCAGGCAATAGGTAATAAAAAAATGCTTTAAAAAAGTAAAAAAAAAAGGTTCCGACAATCAGCTGTGACAATAAGCTGTGCCGCGCAATCGTCAGAACTTTTTTTTTTACTTTTTAAAGCATTTTTTTTTACTACCTATTGCCCGAACCGGTATTTTTGTGTAAAGTGTGATAGTTTGTTTTTGAGCTCTCTGTGACTCTGTGAGGTTCCTGCTTGTTGCAGGGGCCGTTTTGTGTGAAGTCCAGCTGCTTTTGCATTGTGTGTGAGTCAGTTGTGTAGCTTTTGTGTTATTTTTTGTGTAAAGCGTGATAGTTTCCTGGTCACATGACCACGAAGCCATGCCCCACAGAACCGGTAGGGAAATTTTTTTGAATTTCACCACTGATGGTGTCGGTTTTTTTGCAGACCGATGACGAGAAGAGGCAAGGTTTGCCTGTTGTGATGCCGGTTTTTGACAGGAATACCTGCAGTATCCCTAAATCTCAAATCTCGTTCATTGATTATTTCATCACGGACATGTTCGATGCTTGGGATGGTAAGCCGTTTCTTCTCTCTGATGCAGAAGAAAGAGAAAATTGCTGTTCATGACCTACCAGTAGGGATTGTCCACTTTTTGCATAATCTTCAATACAGATTGGATGGCGGAAGGATTGTGGGAGGGAGGGCAATTTATGGTCCTGATTGGATCACTCTGTTCTGTCCCCGTCCCACACGCACACACACCAACAGACGTCCAAGAGTTAAAAACCAAACCAGCTGACAAAATCCTTTTCCTTATGATAACGGAACTTGGCAGCAACCTAGTGGCTGCCTGCCAAGAGTTTATTACTTACGAATGGAAGAGATAACTTCTCTCCGCTTCTGGTACATCAAAGTAAAATGCTCAATAATTACAGAGTAATTCAAGTCCAAATATAATCCAGCAAAGTCTATAGCAAAAGTCCGGCAATGCAGAATGGCGTGGAAGCTTTCAGCTTTGTTCGTCACAAGGCTTGACTGGCCACCACGCTCCCTTTTATACCCTGTGGGGTGTGGTCCAGTGACTCAGCCTAATCTCGGGCACGCCTTTTCTTCTGTTGCACGCGCTTATCTCTGCGACGCTGGCGTGGATCCAGCTAAGACTCATTACTCTCATCACTGTCCACCTGTGGCTGCGTGGACGTGCTTGGCCCCGACCCTATCTCTTGCCCTTCGGCGGACACCGAAGGCATTGCCAGAGAGGAGGGTCCTGGAGAGGGAGGCCTTGCCAACTCCTCTCCTTCACTCTCAGAGTCCTCTCCGGTCAATAACACAGGCTCAGGTAACGGAGCCACAACACACTCAAGGACATGAGTGGGCAACCTGTTGCTCAGGTTGGTTGTTGTTTCTTTTTATGTGACCTCTACTGAGTTCCTTCTAACTATCTCTCTTGGTGATATGCTACTGAACAATGGCAGTTGTTGCTTTCTGCTATTTGGAAGTGGGAAACATAAAAAAAAACAGGGGTGCCAGGTCTAAATGATCTTAACTTGGTCATTGGTACCCCCCCCACCCATCTTTGAGGTGAGTGTATGGAACGTTCTTTGTTGTTTTAAGAAAGGGTGACTATTTTATGGCTTCTTCTTTTTTTAAAAATAATTTTTATTGAGTATTTTACATTTTAAAACCAAACACACAATAGCAAAAGAAACCGAGAGACAAAAACAAAAAAAAACACACGCACATCAGACGTTAAAAATACAACACTAACAACAGATATATACAATTTTACAACTTTCTGCATCGACTTTTGTCTTTACTCTTAGCTTTTATCCTCCTGCTCCTTCTCTTTATTTTTAAATATTCATAATTAACTGTTTGGTTAGCAGGATCATTATTTACATTTATATCCAGTATGTTAATATCAAATTTCACTTTATATTCTTATTTCTAAATTTGATTTCTATTTTCCAACCATGTATAAAACCTATTCCACAGTTTATAATAATCCAAGTCTTCTCTTTCTTTGATCTCCATCGTTAATTCATCCATTTATGGCTTTATGGCTTCTATTACATGGTGAGTTTCATCTACGTGCTAGCTCAAAATCATGGAAAATGGCATTGTCAGTTTTCAGCCCTTAAGGTCAGGTAGAGCTTTGGGGGTACCAAAAAGGAGGAACAGCTCCTTTTCTGTTAAGAGCCACGGTGGCACAGTGGTTAGAGTGCAGTACTGCAGGCTACTTCTGCTGCCGGCCGGCTGCCTGCAATTTGGCAGTTCGAATCTCACCAGGCTCAAGGTTGACTCAGCCTTCCATCCTTCCGAGGTGGATAAAATGAGGACTCAGATTGTGGGGGGCAATATGCTGACTCTGTAAACCGCTTAGAGAGGGCTGTAGAGCACTGTGAAGTGATATATATAAGTCTAAGTGCTATTGCTAAAGTGGGAAAGGAAAGGAAGGAGGGAAGGGAAGGGAAGGGAAGGGAAGGAAGGCCATGGTGGCACAGTGGTTAGAATGCAGTACTGCAGACTAATTCTGCTGACTGCTGACTGCCAGCAGTTCGATTCGCACCAGCTCAAGGTTGACTCGGCCTTCCATCCTTCCGAGGTGGGTAAAATGAGAAGCCAGATTGTTGGGGGCAAGAGGCTGACTCTGTAAACCGCTTAGAGAGGGCTGTAAAGCATATACTGTGAAGCGGTATATAAGTCTAAGTGCTACTGCAATTGCTATCCCTGAAGCTGTAGGACTGTAGGTTGTCCATAGCCTCCCCCACGATTAAGAAAACAAACCCATTTCCCAAGAGGTGTCAATGACTTCACCGTTGTCTTTTCCAGCTTTTGCAGATCTACCAAATCTGATGCAGCACCTAGACAACAACTTCAAGTATTGGAAGGGGCTGGATGATAAAAAGCTGAGGACTCTTCGGGCGCCCCCTGAATAGCTGTCAGACCATTGGACATGCATCTCTTCCATCGGGAAGCTGGTTCCTCCAAACTTGCCTTTGGTTATGGATTTTCAAATTCGTTTGGTCTCTTCAGCATGACAACAAGACCTTTGTGTTCTCCACTATGGGGAAGTTGGACAATCTGAAGAGCCTGGTCATCAGAAGAACCTTCTTCTCCATCCGTCATCTAGCAATTGAGGAGCTGGCCATACTTTTCAAGCTGAATTACACTGGATAGATGCCTGTATCGGAGAGAATTTTCGGGTGAGCCTTATCGCATGCTGGGAAGTGATGTTTGGAGAGACCCTTTTCTTGGAAGATCTCAGCTTGAGGTTCTTCAGAGCGGCCAGTGAAGGAGGGAAAAAAATGTCCCTCACCGCGAGGATTCATAACCACGATGAGGAATCTTTAGCATGAGCACTAAAAGAATAAAAAGAAACTGAAAACAGCTACACGGACCAATCAGAGATAGACGATACAGACTCTTTGTGAAGGAGCTTTCTTTTTTTTTAATCTTCTCAAATGGATTTAGCGGTATTTTTTCACGTTGCTGAAAGCGCGATCACTCGCTCCTGAGCATTACGGAGAACACATTCTCTTAAAAATTTAGTAGCAAATGGAAGCAAACCGATAGACACCCCACCCACCCCCCCTCCGTTCCCTTCAGCCCCGCAGATTTTTTCGAAGCTGATCGTTAGGCGCCTCTGATTAAAATATGTTTTATTTATTTTGTTAGATGTTGAATATTTTCTATAAAATTTATAAAGACTTGTCAAACGCCAAAGCCAACTTCTAGAGGCATTACGGTTTTTCGTGATTCCTAACTCATTATGCATTTTTTTTCTTTCTTTCTCCGGTTGCAAAAAAGGGGCGTGCGGCGAATCCAACTTTTTTATTTCACGGAGAGGACAGGTTGACGACCTTGGTTTTATATATGACAGATAGTCCTCAAATTACGAACGTTTGGTCCGCAGCCCTTTGATGTTACTACGGCACTGAATAGGGGTTATTACACAACTTTGCTCTTGTTATGATGTCTCTGCTGTGGATATTAGGCTCCAGCTACTAAGTCCAACCAGTGGCCAGTAACCCTTGGTCAGCACTCTGCATCCTCATGAGATCTTCAGGTTAATTGAATTTCTCAGCCCATTCTTTAAAAAAAAAAAAAAATTCTTGGAAAATTCCCAGCTTCAAAAATTTTAGCAAGGGGTTCTCTGCCCGGTTGCTGGGTGGGCGTGGCCATGGTGGGCGTGGTTTAGTCAGCCTCCTGCACCACAGTGGTGGCAGGGGGGACTTTTTGCCCTCCCCGGGCTCCGGAGGCTTTTCTCAAGCCTCCGGGAGGGTGAAAGCGGCCTCCCCAGGCAGGCCCGTTTTTCACCCTCCCCGAGCCTCTGTGTGCACCCTGCACTTACCTGCATCCAAAATAGGTTGTGTGGGGACTCCTGGGAGGGGAGGGGAAGGGTGGGCCAGCCAGGAGTGGGATTTGGGGGTTCTCCGAACGGCATAGAATCTGAGCTAGAGGTTCTCCCGAACCCCTGCAAACCCCCAACAGCCTACCCGTGTCCCAGCCCTGTTGTAGGTGTTCATCATATTCTACATTGTTGCTCCCCAAATCCCCTTTACCATTGTCTATGCTAAGCCTACACATAGGGGCAGTTTTCTGGAAATAACCCTGTAAAACCCTACATAAGGTAGCCATCAGAGGCCCGGGAGGTGATGGTGTGTGAGGACGATGGGCTTCCTTTGAAATGTATGTTATGATGTTCCCATCCTGAGAAATGTCTTGCCTTGAAAAGTTTTATTTTTAAGAAAAAAAGAAAAATAATAATAGAAATGCTACATTTCCAAGATATTTGCAAACTGACTAGACTCTTCTAGTGGATAGCAGAAGGGCGGGTGAGCGGGTGGGCTGGAAAGGGGGAGTTAAAAATGTATATTTTGTAAAGTTTTAGCCATTCCCTCTCGGCCGTTTCCCCTTATTTATTTTTCAAATCTCTCACACTATTTCGTAGGCCTCTGAAATGAAAACCCTTCCTTTTAAAAATAAACCGTGGAAACTTTCTTCCTGCTTTGTTCTTCGTGTCTACTGACGCAGCTTGGCTTTTGAAAAATAATAATAATAATAATAATAATAATAATAATAATAATAATAATAATAATAATGTTTATTCCTTCTTAATCCTCATTCCTTGGGCAAAATAGAAAAGAAAGAAAGAAAGAAAGTAGGACATGCCGTTGAATTGCGTCAGACACCCGTTGTGCTCAGCTGTGTTGTGAGAAACCCGAAAACTTTCCATTACCTCTAGATTTGGATATGCGTATATATTAATAGTACTAAAAGGCATAGGTTTCCACGGGAGCAGGGAAATTGGTCTGAAATTTATATGTCTCTACACTATCCTAACTTCCAAATTCCTTCGCTCCCTTACTCAGTCCCACATTGTCATCTATTAATTTTAGAGAAATTACGCCTCCCCAAAAAAGTTTTTTTCCTTCTTCTTTTGGCTCAAGGAACCATTATTTGCAGGTATTCTGTCTAAGGCTGTCATTTCTCATTCCTCTTGCAGATTTCTTTTTTTTTTTTCCATAGGTCCCTCTGCCTTCCTCTTTTTCCACTTGTTTGATTTGTGTGCGCCATCAATTCTGCCTTTTTTGGGGGTAGGGTTGCCAGGTCTGCTTCCAAAAAATAGCGGACAAGTGGGGGGGGGAGTTAAGTAGTAAAAAAAAAAATTACAATTACATTATATATTTTCTTACAAACATTTTAACACGCCATTTTAGGTCAGTCGACACAAGCTACAATACATTTTAAAAATGTGAACTGTACATAATTTTATAATATATTTTTATTTTAATCTCATCATTAATTTTTTCGGAGAATCGAGTTCAATGGATATTCGATCTTTGTCTCATTCTAACTTATGAAAAAAAAGACAAAACGCGATTCTCCTATCCTTGTTCTCTTAGACCGTACAGCTTTAGATTACGTACCATTTCATCATAAAGCTTTTGAATAAAAAAAATGTCCACTATTTTGTGAAAAAAAATAGTGAACATATTGTGAAAAAAGTGGACTGTCCGTTCAAATAGTGGAGACCTGGCAACCCTATTTGGGGGGGGGGGATTGCTGGCAAAAGCCTAGATAGTTCCTGCAGTTTTCTTGGCAAGGTTTCAGAAGTGGTTTGCCCTTGCCTGGTTCCCAGGGCTAAGACAGAGTGACTGGCTCATGGTCACCCAGCTGGTTTCATGCCTAAAGCAGGATTAGAACTCACTGTCTCCTGGTGATTGGCTCCGAGTCCCTCAGTTGGATTTCATGCCTAAGATCAAGATCAATCAATCAATCAGAATAGATCTGGAAGGGACCTTGGAGGTCATTTAGTCCATGCCCCTGCTCAAGCAGGAAACCCTATAGCTGTGATGCCACAGGTGGGCGTGGCAGGGGAAGGATACTGCAAAATCCCCATTCTCTCCCCACGCCTGGGGCCAGCCAGAAGTGGTATTTGCCGGTTCTCCAAACTGCTCAAAATTTCCACTACCGGTTCACCAGAACCTGTCAGAACCTGCTGGATTTCATCCCTGCTAAATTACCACTGGGGAAGTAGTAGAGGTACAGGATCCTGCATGGCTATTATATCTCCCAATGGTCAAAAGACCCTAAAATGCTTTTTTTCTTTAGCCTGGAAAAAAAAAACGGGGTGCATAATTCTTGAAGGTAGCCTTCAATCGTCTTGGGTTGTTCAGTGCAAACACATTCAGAAGCCTGAATAGCTCAGCAGACTAATGCATTGTAATTTAACTCCAGCTGTCTGCAATTAGTAAGTTCGAATCTCGCCAGGCTCAAGGTTGACTCAGCCTTCCATCCTTTCTAAGGTAGGTAAATTGAGGACCCAGTTTGTGGGGGGCAATAAGCTGACTTCGTAAAAATATACAAAAGTATGAAGGCTATTGGTTAACACATTGTAAGCCGCCCTGAGTCTCCGGAGAAGGGCGACATATAAATCAAATAAAAAAACAACAACACAATTATTAGTAAAGTAGTAGTAAGGCAGGGAGCTCTTTCCTATTGAGCTAACGGGACTCTTCAGCTATTTGAGCCTGTTGGGGAACTGATCCTTGGCTGGGGTGGGGGGGGGGCGGTTGCGGAATTGGCATCCAACCTTTTACTGGCATCTGGATTCCAGCAATTACATGACTTCACCATTATTTTCTTCTGCCCTTGGAGATAGCAGCGTGACTACAAAGCTTTTTGTGGCGTTGTGTTCCGAGCATTGTGGCATCATTTTCCTAAGCAAATTAATCTAATTTGCTGACAGGTTGCCTTAATTAAAACCTTTCTGCCGCATAGAAGTTTATTTGGAGTGACAGCACTTTTTTGCTTTTTTTTTTTTTTTTTGAAGAAATCTGTTGCTCCTATATTGATGAGTCAATACATATATTACTCTTTCCTGTCTGTAAGAATTGCACGGAAAGGAAAGCAGCGATACGTAAATGATGAATAACAAAATGGTAGTTAATATTTCAGCATCCCCTGATCAATATTTGATTTCTCTGGAAGCATTCCTGGACGGCTGAATCATACGGGCAAGGATGTTAAAGCTCTGTAGAAAGTAAATACAGGAAACTTACAGGAGAATAGGACAGTATGGATTCTGAGGGACAGTATAGACTTCTGAAGTCTAGCTCTCCATTAATCCCTTAAAGTTGCAGTCCCAGCTCATTCAGACAAGCATGATTTAATAGATTAATCGAGTTGGAAGGGACCTTGTAGGTTACTTAGTCCCACCCCCTCCTCTCAAGCAGGAGACTCTACACCATTTCTGACAGATGCCAGTCCAGTCTCTTCTTGAAAGAGAAGTGATGTTGTAACTCTGAACCATCACTGAATGGACTGTTGTAAGTAGAGGACTACCTGTAATTATAATTTAGGATTGGGAAGGGATGACATGCCCAGTATTTTGATCGCAGATTTTTTTTTTAAACCATTTTGCGTGCTTATTGTACTGAGCGGAGAGACCCCCCCAAAATATCATAACTTTAAAAACCGCAGGCATAGTCATACGCACATAATCAGCTTTTAACATGATTGCTGAATTGACCTATTTTCTAGCTTGGAACAGTTGCATCATAAATTGACTGAATTAGCTCAGCCCCTGATTCCTGCACACCACACGCCAACTAACCAAGGTTAAAACGCATCAAATTTAGCATTTTCTACCACTGCAGCATGGGACCTGGGTAACATGGGTGTGTGTGTGAATGCAACCCCAAAGAATGAAGCAGTTGTTAAGGAGTGCCGGATGAATTAAAAATGCACGAGTGGAATGCCCGTTTAGCAAAAAAAAAACATGGGGAAGGGAAGGAGAAAGGGACAGCAAGTCCAAACAAATATTAAATAAGTCCAAGTGATTCATCGGCTTGGGTGGGTGCAAGAGAGAAATGGGGGGCTTGAAAGAAATATAACCCAAGCTGAACTGTTAGGACTAAATTTACTTTGAACCACAACAGACTCTTGAGCCCAAGGTAATTCAACATCTCTTGACATATTGCGGTATTGACTCTGCAAATATTTACAGAGTGGAATTTATTCACGATACTATGTAGTGCTGCTTATAGCTGAAAAGTCCCAACATTATACATTAACCGCTAACGAACGTTGGCATTCAACCTTCTTCCTATAGGCAGCTAGAACATCACCTGATTGGACGACTTGGGTGGCTGAACTGATGCATTTTTTTTTTCAAGGCGAACTGTATGGAGCCTAGAGAGCAGAACTTGTTGATTTGTGGGTTCCCCAACTGGAGGTTTGGGGGGGGGAGTTTGGTCTTTCTGGAAAACCTCCTCCAGATCCTGGCGTGACTCTGGAGGACACCTGGTTCTCCTTGAACTGAAGTAACTCTAAGATTTAAGAGCAACAAAGGGGAAATGGTTCCATTGAAGTTGGGAGGCCAACGTGAAGAGGGATTCTAGTTTTCATGCTCCCTTCTAATCTCCTTTACCGATGAAATTTAGTTTTGGGGAAAGTACGGTAAGAACCAAAGAAATCTGGTGTATTTGGAAATTGGACCCGTTGCTAGAAACCAGATGTTTGTGTCCGGGAATTGAAGATCAATGTATCTGAAAAACACTAGTGATGGGAAGACTGGTTGGATTTTTTTGTTTAATCCAAGGGATTAAAGGAAAGGAAAGGAAAGGAAAGGAAAGGAAAGGAAAGGAAAGGAGAAAGGAAAGGAAAGGAAAGGAAAGGAAAGGAAAGGAAAGGAAAGGAGACAAGTGGAGTGGAATGGAGTAGAGTAGAGTAGGGTAGGGTAGGGTAGGGTAGGGTAGGGTAGGGTAGGGTAGGGTAGAGTAGAGTAGAGTAGAGTAGAGTAGAGTAGGATAATACTTGATTTGGCCAAGTGGGGTTAGACACACAAGGAATTTAAGAGAAAGAGCAGTCCAGGACATGGATTTTATTAAATCACAATCAACCAAGAATGCGTTAAATCTGGCCATTGATAGGAACCCTTTCCCACACAAGAATTCTCAGAAGATTGATTGAGGCTTAGCAGAATTGGCTCACACATTGTCTCTTAGCCCAGCTGATTACATATATGGGAATCAAACAGCTGCCTTTTTCTCTAGGTCAGTAAGGGACATTTTCCAAGAATAAAGTATGAACTCCAGCTGGATCAGGGGGTGCAAAAGTTCAGGAGTCTCTTCTTTGACCTTCGGTCCTTCGTGAACAATGAAGGTTCTGTAAGCCTGTAATTCATGACATTCGTCAAGAAGCAGCCACTGATCGTAGATCGCATCTGTCTGACTTCTCCAACCTGGTGCTTTTGGACATCTTTACACTGGGATTTGATAGGTGTTAGTTAGGACATCTGGAGGGCAAATTGAGGTGCGGAGTTAAGATATTACTAGGCAATTTAAAAAGGGTACTGGGAAACAGGGGAGAACTATTGTGCTTGAAAGTTTTTGCAGAAATAGAAAAATAATATTTAGGTAACAAAATCCGCAAGGACAAAAGAGATCCCATTTAAGGATTGCATGTGTCTATTAGTGTTTGAACTCTTGGTATT